GGCGGGACGGCGGCCGCGGTAGCCCGGCTTCGGCGTACAGTCTCTGGGTCGCGGGTTGCCAGGGTCCTGCCCTTCTCAGACGGTCCTCCAGGGGAGTAAGGGTCTGAGGATTTGTAACGTGGTGAGACCGCCCTGCAGCCCCTGACCCACTTGGAGCTAGCAGGTCCTGGCAGGAAACCCGCCATGTGGTCTTTTCTTAAGACTTCATTCTTAGAGAAATATTAAGTATTGCTTCCTAGGCCGCAGTATCTTAACTAGATAAAAAAGAAAACTAATCCTTTGTCCTTCAGGAGTTTGCAGATTAGTAAGGTATGACTTCGAGAGGGTTACAAAACGGGCATTAAGCCATCAGGGAAGCACGCAGGAGTTAGCTTGTTTGGGAGAAATGGTGGATGCTCAGGGCTGGAGTATAAACCAAGACCACAGGTGGGAAGCGCGGATAGGGGTAGAAAAGAACCACAAGGTTTGTGGAGCATCGTCTGAATTTGTTTTAACGTGGCAGCTCTGTAAACTAGAGAATGAGGTTTCCAGTTTAGTTGTTGCCCTATACAGTGGCCTTTCAAACCACCCCACCCCCATACCAGGGCTCGAATGTGGGACCACGTGCTTGCCAGGCACGCAGGCCCAGCGCCACTTAACTACATCCCCAGCCACGGCCTTCAAACTTCTGACACACCTACTTAAAATACATCATGATCCAGTACAAATCTCCAGTCTTAAGCTTGCTAGCAAAATACCTATCCTTTCAGTTATTTTTTTTAAATATTGGTTACCACCTAGTTGAATTGGATAAATTTTAAAAGCCCGATGAATCCAGTGCCTATCTCAACTGACACTAAACCTACTCAAAAGTTACTTGAGAAACCCAGGATGGTGGATGGCCAAAAAGGTACTTTCCAGCTGGCTAACCATGGTCTGAAAACTCAACGCTAGGAAAAACTGCATGCTTGTCTTGCACCTTTCCAACTAGGGCACATATCTCCCTTCCTCTAATGCATCCACACTATGTAATTTACCTTAGTAACCATCTGACTTATCAGACCAACTACAAAATTAACCTGTATGTTAATATTTTACTGGTAATTTCTTGATGTGCCTTATTAACTTTTACGATATGCACATATAGGAAATAATCAGCCCTCTGTACTTCAAGGATTCCACATCAAGACTCAGCCAACTGCAGATCAATACTATTTTTTGGGGAAAAACTCAATCTATACTTGGTATATCCTAAAGAATACAGTGTAGGTACTTACACTGTAGTAGGTATTACTAAGTAACCTAGAGGTAATTTGAAATACACAGAATATGCATAGATTATATGCATATGTCACACCATTTTATTTAAGGGACTTGAGCACGTGTAGATTTTCATATCCAAGGGGGTTCTGCAACCTATCTCCCACAGGGACACTTGTGTAATTTTAGGTTTCCAACTGTGATCTGAACATATCCTGAAGGGGGAAGTACTACTGAAAACTTACAAGTTGCTAAAAGAGCAATAATAGCTTCATTTGGATAGCAATCACAAAATACCAACCCCAAATAGGCTATTATTTTTACCACTTTGTTTCTACATGAATATAAACCTCAAAAATAAACAAAACGAAAAAGTCCAGAAACTGAAGAAAATTATGCCTTTATTCCCTGTATTGCCATTCAGGCAGGCTGAGTAGTTTGCTTTTTGGTGATCAGTCAAAGAGACCAAATCCCATATCCTCATCAGACTCCTCCGACTCTTCCTTGGCTTCAACCTTGGCTGGGGCAGCTGCAGCAGCAGGAGCAGCAGTGGTGGTGGCAGCAGCAGCGACAGGGGCAGCAGCCACAAATGCAGATGGATCAGCCAAGAAGGCCTTGACCTGAAGGGAAGAAGTATTCAAAGTGGTCATCCACACCCCTCTGCCATCTAAGACCTTTGCATAAGAATGTCCATTTAGCTCAGTGGTTTCAACCCTGCCTTGGAAGTGCAAGGGGTCCAATCCCTGGTACCACAAAAAAAAAAAAAAAAAAAAAAAAAAAAAAGTCCAAGCCCTTAAAACATTTCCTGTGTAAAGTGACCCAGCAGGAGAGCTTAGACATGGCCTAGTTGGGGGGTGGGGTGGGGTGTCAGTAGGTCTAGCTCTTGCATAGCCCTTCTTTGGGTCTCTTATCATTATTATTATTATTTTTTTTGTACAAGGGATAGAACTCAGGTCCTTGTGCTTGCGAGGCAGGCGGCAGTTGAGACTGACCTGAAACTCACTATGTAGCCCAGGCTGGTCTCAAACTCACAGCAATCCTCCTGACTCAGCCTCCTGAGTGCTGGAATTATAGGCGTGCACTACCATGCCCCGCTCCAATCTCTTCTGCTACATAAAACACGACTATATAGGTACAGTGGCACAAGCCTGCCTATAAGCTTAGCAGTCTGGGAGGCTGAGACAAGAAAAGTTCAAGCCCAGCCAGAGCAATGTAACACCTTACTGAGATCCTGTCTCAAAGTCCTTTTTTTTTTGCCATTTTTCTTATGTGTCCTAGGCATGAAACAGCTCTGGCCACCAACCAGGCATCAAGCTAGGATGAACAAAGGACCATCATCTGCTCTACCCCTGGCTGATATAAGAACAACACCACCAATGAGGTGTCTCTTTGCCCATTGCCAGGGGGGTTCAAAATTTTAAAAATTTAAAAAAATAAATTTTAAAAATTAAGTATTTCAATCCCTGCAACCTCCCTCCCCCAAAATAAAAACTACTAACTCAGGATACCACTAATCATCCTGCTGTCAGGCCCACTGTGGTCAGAATTAAGATCTTACCTTTTCAGCAAGTGGGAAAGTGTAATCAGTCTCCACAGACAAAGCCAGGACCCGCTTGTACCCATTGATGATAGAATGGGGCACTGATGCAACAGTTGGGTAAGCAATCTGCAGACAAACACTGGCAACGTTGCGGACACCCTATTGAAAAGAAAATTATAACTTTGATGACTTGGTATAAAATATAACTTAGCAGCATTGAGTTCCATAAGAGAAAAACTTAAAACAGGTTCACAACAGGGCTATAATTGGTATATCTTGCTGCTTGGTGGCTTGAACCACCAATACAAGCCAGCAAGGACATTTAAGTATTTCTACAGGTAAATTTCAACCACTACTGGACATTTAGAAAATTAAGTGCCGGGTATTATAGATGCACCCCTATAATTTCAGCACTCAGGATCAAAGACAGTGAACTTGAAGGCAGCTTGGGATATGTGAGTTTAAGGTCAGCCTGGACTACCATAGTGAGTCCCTGTCTCAAAAACAACCAAGTAAATACAGCTAGTTGAGTACAATCCTCAGGTCAGGGATTTAGCTCAGTGGTTCCACTGCCTACCTACCTCCCAAGCACATGGTCCCAAGTTTGATACCCAGTACCAAAAAAAGCACAGTCCTCCCCCCATATCCATGGAGAATTGGTTCCAGGACTCCCCAGATATCAAATCCGTGAATGCTCAAATTCCATGGTACCACTTAAACATGGCCTATTCACATCCTCCAGTATACCTTAAATTATCTCTAGGGTACTAGTAAACCTAACATAGGGACCGGAGATTTTAGATCAGTGGTGCTGTGCCAAGGACCCAAGTTCGATCCCCGGTACAAAAAAAAAGGCACCTTGGGCCAGGGATTTAGCTCAATGTCACGGCACCTGCCTTGTTGCAAGCACCAAGGTCCTGAGTTCAATCCCCAGTACCAAAAAAGAGATAAAAAGAAAGAAAGAAAAAGCACCTGGCAATGTTAATATTTACCCTTTGATTCATACTCAAGACTTATTAATGGCAGGCCTTAGAATAACCATAGCACCATAGCCAGCACCTTTCTAAAGACTTATGTTCATTAAATCTTTCAAAAACCCAAGTTTATGTCACTTCACCAGAGAGGAAATGCATGATGGATTAAACTACTCTCTTGCACTTGCTTGGTTACCCCGCTAATTTAGGCAGTGCAAAAAGGACTCAAGCCTAGGCTGGATAGCACATACCTCCAGAAAGCGAGTATGCAGAGCTTCCTCTGTAATGTCAAGCACTTCAGGGTTGTAGATGCTGCCATTGTCAAACACCTGCTGAATGACCAGCCCAAAGGAGAATGGGGAGATGTTCAACATGTTCAGGAGGGTGGCCTCACTGGCTCCCACTTTGTCTCCAGTCTTAATCAGCTGTACATCACTCTGAAGAACAAGATTAATGGCAGGCAGTTAACACCTGGACATCCGGCAGGCCTATGGCCTCCACAAAACGTTCCCTACCTGCCTGGCTCGCACTGGCAAGCCAGGTACACTCACCAGGATTTCAATAGTGCCCCTGGAGATTTTAGTGGTGATGCCCAGAGCCTGGAAGAACGAAGTCTTCTCAGGTCCCAAACCAGTGTTCTGGGCTGGCACAGTGACTTCACATGGTGCAATGGCACCAGCACGAGCAGCAGCTGGCACCTGAACAATGAACAATAAGAGGAGTCTTCAGACACAACCTGCTAATAGCCAATTTTGCTTTAAAGAGCCAAACTCATTTCTCTGTCCAATCCAAATTTCCCCATACCTTATTGGCCAGCAGCATATCCCTGATCTCAGTGAGGTCCTCCTTGGTGAACACAAAGCCCACATTCCCCCGGATATGAGGCAACAGTCTGTGGAGAGAAGTTTACAGGAGACATCACCTGAAAGCACCATTCTTCTCCTGGAAAAGGGAGAAGGGCAGCAGGAAACAACAACAAAACTGCCAGGGGATTGACCGACTTCTCCAGAGCTGGGTTGTTTTCCAGGTGCCCTCGGATAGCCTTGCGCATCATGGTGTTCTTGCCCATCAGCACCACAGCCTTCCCTCGGAGGGACATGCGGATCTGCTGCATCTGCTTGGAGCCCACGTTGTCTGCTCCCACAATGAAACATTTTGGATAGTCATCCAAAAGTTGCTATAAAAACAAGCCACGAAGTTTAGCAGGCAAGTTGGGGGGAAAAGATCAGCAGAAACTAAACCCCACGACCACTTGGACTCCTCTCGTTTGTATGGCTTTGGTATCACTACAAGATTGGGACAGTTCTTTGCCAGTAGGAACCACGTTAACTTTTAATGGTGTCAGATTCGACCCTGACTTGCTTGGTAGGTGTATGTGTTGAAAATAGATTTCTATGCTCAATCCCAAAAAAAAAGAGAGCTTATCAGAAATGAGACATCACTTCTCATTCACTAAAATGGCCACAATAACAGGAAATAAAACTACTCCAGATAAATCAGTCAGGGAAGCAATAGATTTATAGCACTTAAAATACAACAAAGCAAACACATGTGATCCCCGATACCAAAAAAATAAATACAGCAAATTGTAGACTCAACTGTAGCTATATGATTTTTTAAAACAAATCATGTTGTCTGAAAACGTGCAGGATAAAGGCCACTATAAAATACTAACGAAGCTCTACAAAGAAGTCTAATTCCTATAGTGCAGTATGGTCAGCCTTTGTGGTTATGTAAGATCCGCCTCAAAAGCCATTGAAAACAGCCATTGGGTGGTGAGTCACTTCTTGTCTCAGACCCTCCCAACGACAGGTAGGGTTTCAAAACTACCATGAGACACCTGAACTGCCTGAGCCTGTGTATTTCTAGCAGAGAAATCTACCTCGGGCAACTGTTAAAATTACAGCAGCTTTTCCCAAAATGGCCTAACTCTGTGGCTGGCACCAAAGACAGTTGGTAGGTGACTGTCCCTATTAGCGCCTGGGGCGGAAGCTGCTGGTTGACTACAAGGCACTCCCCACTTACGACGATCTTAACGAAGTAGTTGGATTTCCAGGTCGCCCTGTCTTCCCTGGGCATCACGGCGGTGCGTCAGGGATTGCCACGCAGGGTTTAAAGACGATGTCACTGAAGAGAAAAAGGGAGCTCAGGGGTTGTCACTCGGCACTAGACCTCAATGGGAGGCCTACACTGACCGGGCCCAGCGCCCGCCAGCCGGGCCTGGGCGGCCACCGCCACCAATAATAAAGCAAGAGCCGCCGCCCAAACATCAAGCGGGGCAAATGAAAGCCCCCGTGGTCTCCAAATAGCGCCAACCCCATTCTCCCGGCTTCCCAGAAAACCCATGCTTTCTGCCGCCAACCCCAGGACAGACACTTGGCCACACGAACCTCTCACGAGGACGCCTGGAAAGAGAAGGGCTGCGCGCCCGAGGGCGTCTTTTATAGACGTATAGAGGAGCCAATCAGAAACCGCGGACGGCACTACTGCCTATTTGTTGGCGCCGAAATGATATAGGCAGCTATTGGGTGATATCGCTGCCACTCCAGCCAACAGGAAGCTGTCTTTAAGTAGGGTAGTTAAAAAGAAAGGCGATGCCTGGCTTTGGAGGCGCTCTTTCAGAGCTGCTGCCCCTGCTGGCCTGGGGCTGCCTCCCTCTAGCAGGTAGCTGGCCAACTCAGCAAACTATGTAGTTTGACAAGTAGCTGAGAAGTAATTACAAATGCCTTAGTAATACAGTGATATTTTATCTCCTCTAGTTTGTTCTCCCCACCAAAACAGAGGGATCCTGTAAAATCTAAATCCTCATTTACTCAAAAATTTCAAACCACTTAACTTTCCTTGAAGTAATAGTGTAAAATTTACACTGCCTATAAGTCCTGGTGCAAATATCATCTACTCAATGAGGACTTGCCGGGTTTCCGTATTTTAAA